CCGTCTACGTAACCGATTACCTTCACCTTAATCGGGCCGAATTCTAACAAAATTCCGGCCTCCAGGTCGCCAGAAATATGAAATTTTTCACTTACCGCGACGGGAGAAAATGAAGTTTAAAATTGGCACTCGTGCATAGAGCTGGGTATCTAGCAACTGGGACGGACGATAACTATTCCAAGCGAAATTAGAAAAAAAGTGATGCAGCAAAAATTTTGCACTGTTTACCACGCCCTATTGCACCATTGTAAAGTTTTTCTCGCGAATGCACCGATGCAATTGCACTTTTTTAATGACAGAACCGACTAAATGAAATTACTATTAATTTGATCCCTTCACCCATCCTATAACTCCAATTTAATATAATTTTTGGTGATACTCGTATCACTGGAAGCGAATAAATGTATTTAGAATCAAACGATTGCTTGAATCGACTCTAAAGTTAAAAGCTCATTTGTCCCCAGGAGCCGTATTTAGTTCAAATTATGCGAAAAAAACAAGAATTGGAGGGAAATGTCAATGTGCCAATTTTTGCAAGAGTATTTTAAAATACGGTGACCCAGTACTGGGAACTGATTGACGGGCGATTGAATTATATCGCGAAAGCGTTTATTATAAATTTCCATTTTTATTTGACATTTAAAACCGCGAAATAATTTAGCGCGAGTGAGAGACCCTATATTTAAGTTATGACAGAAATAAAAGAAGATTTTCGACCGAAACTTGATGGAAAAATAACTGGTTTATCGGGACTACAATGATTAATTACTCTGTCCATCCAGTTAAGAATTTGCGAAATGAATAACAATTCTTGCGTCTAATTGGCATTCATAGCCTTTGCAGGTTTCTATGAATTTCCAATAGGTTTGAGAACCAAACGACCACCTGTCGCGTAAATTCCTATCCTTCGGAGATTAATACCATCTGCGTAGACGTAGTTGGAATAATATTACATACTAAACCGAAAATCAAATTCCACGATAGTAATTGCTACGAAACACGTTATAATTAACTGGCAATAATCCTGTCCGAAATAATCTAATTATGTGACGCGTTGAAAGTGTATAATTACACGACACACGATGAAACATGTTTTCTTCAATGTCCCCTTAGGGAAAATATAAATCATTAACCGTGCATCAAAGAAAAAACATTCCTTTATTACAAAGAACTTTTGCAAACAATTCCTCGAAGGAACAAGTATTTTTAAACGGTGCAACAAATCGTTCGTTATCTCCGAAATAATTTACCGCGACTTTAAACGCGTGACTCGAGTTCATAAGAGTTGTGTTGTCTTAAACAGCTGACACTATAAATTTCAATGGCAACACTATAAATTTTTCCTCTTTAAAATTTTCTACCTTGAAAATATCTGCTGTCAAACTTCCAATAAATTGTTCCTGCGAACGACAAGAATGGATTAGCTTTTATGACACGCTGGAATATTTATAACTATGTATTTATTTCGTTTGAAGCCAGCAAACACAAACGAAAACAAAGCGTGCCTCTATTTTTGGTGCACGGAACGACAATCTAATGATTAATGTACCGAGCATTTTATTTATAATTTACCGGACCCGCCCGGAATACGAAATTAAACTCCACGAAAATCGACAAACGATTCGTCCTTCCGTCGTGCACGGGTTGTTCCGAAATTTTTAGTGAGTGGGTGACGTATTTCGAAACGGAAGACAAACCTAAATGAACGATCTTATGGTCGCGGCTTGGGGACGCGTGAATAATTCATGAAGGAAAAATTAACGGTCTATTCACGCGTGAATGGAAAAGGTAATACAAAGAAAGCGCGAATCCTGTAAAAAACATCTAACAATGCATTGTCATGTAAAACGCGCGACGTGGCGATGAAAAATTAAGATATATGTCGCTGAAACGTACGTGTCAATTTCTCTAGCAAACGCTACGCGAGGATTTATCGTTCATGCTAACACGAATAGTTTCGTCTCTTTCAGGGAATCAATCTGTGGAGATTTTTTGATCCCTTTACGATCTAAAAATATACAAATATACAGAAACTGTAGGGTGATTTAAAAATAATTTTTTAGAATCGAATATATCAGGTATACTTTCAGATTTGAAGAGGCTTTAAATAAGGATTTGCAAAAACATAGTCTCGAATCGATCACAGACTACCGGTATTATCCCTCGCCTTATATCTTGGTCAAAATTTATATATTCGAATGTCTTCATCGGAATATCATTGAACGACCCTTCGCTGGTTTCGAGGAGCATTTTTATACGACGTCCATCGCGAGATATAGGAATACACAGGGGGATGGGGTCGCTCCAGAAAGTTGTACGATTCAAAAGAGTAAAGAAGAAAGGGCGAAGCTCACGACTTCGCGGAACTTCCCTTTTCCGGATTAAGTATTGCCCTGAGACTGTGAGAAAACTTCCTACTCGTTTCAAGAGCCCAAGGACACGCGAAAACATTAATAAAAATGTTACGTTCGGTATTGGTCACTGTTACGATTCCACGATCAAAGAAACAAAATTTCCCTCGATAATTAACCAGACGGACCCACACTACGGTCAACAAACGCGATACCACTGTATCATTTCGCCTAATGATTCGAACCTTGAATACTCCATTATGTATCCGGGCACAAAAATTCTCTATTTACTCGAAAGCAGGTCTTCCGTTTCATTATTTCGTTGGTCCCGTTTCCAACGGCGTTTCGTTTCGGTTTGTTTGCCGTGGCCATATTTTTGTTCGAACGCTCGACTAAATTTTCAATCGTTTGTGCCGTTTGTCGCGCGCACGTACGATTTCCTTTGAGAAATCGGCCGTGCAACGTTTCAGAATTTTATAACGTTTCGTTAAACAACGCTTTCTGCTCCCTCCCTCCGGGGATCCTAATTTTGGGCCGAATTAACGACCCCCGGGTGTATTATGCCGTCGTGTTTCTGGTCGTGCTCGGTATAAACTGGAATCGCGCGTGATGAGCGGTATAATGTCCCTTTGTCTGCTGAGCAGACGCGATCGCGGATTCCGCGTGGGTGACGCGTGGGCGACTTTACACGCGGACGTAACCGGTTCGACGAACGTACGATTACATCGCATTACACTTTGCGCGTTTGTACGTTCGTCACTCGAGAGCATCGCTTAAGGTTTCCGTATCTGCGACGTGGACGGACATTTATTCGACACCGCGCGACAAACATTGACGTACAGGCACTCGACGTGCAAATTTATCGCCTCGAACGTGTGCTAGACACGGAGCAAACACAGCTTTTGAAATATTAAGCGCGTCGCGTAAGATAACACGACATCGATGGTAGTTCTCGATTTTGAGACTAAGCAACGCGACGCGAATGATTCTATTACCAAAAAGCCGTGGTTCGACTAATTAATTTCGTAGGAATTCAATATCAATCGTGGCTGGTGTGGTTACGATATACCGCGACACGAATAATCTCGTTACTTTACGGGCAGAGGGTTTTTGCGCGCTCGCGATGGGCAAAAAAAGCTTAACGGATGGAAACAATACGTTTATGACCTGAATATTCTTGCTCGTTGCATAGCAAATGCACTTTCGGTACGTAGCGGTTATCACAAACGTTTCATCGTACCACCGAAGGCATTCGCGCGAATATAATTTAGTCGGAAAGTTGCTATAGCGGTCGGACAATGAAAGGAAATGGGACGGTTTTAATCTAAAATTAAAATATTCTAGAGAAACGGCGACGCGACGAGCGCGGTGTTTTATGGCGGAGGTTTACCAACGGTCTCGATCGTTTCTTGCGCCCGCGGTTACAACAAGGGCCGCTCGACTCGGTTCGACAGGTTGATTAAAATACCTCGCGACGTTGAGTAGGAGAATTAACCGACGCGAGTGTGTTTGCCCCGTAGAAACGAACGTCTGTCCATGCCGGGGATCGAAGCATCTACTGCGGGGAACGTGTATGCCATTCCGCCATTAGTAACTTCGGGTTACGACCTGCGGACTATCACTCGCACCGAGAGAAATGGTATAACCGAGACACGAAGTAATTGGACTTGTAGAAAATTGGTTTCCACGTGTATTAACATTGTACAAGGCACAGGGACCGTTCCATCGCCCAGTGTACTCGATATCACGTAGTTTACCAATAAAAAGCAGACCGTCTATTCGACGTACGTGTCCCGGTTATGCGAGATTATTCCGCACGACTTCGTTTCGCTACGTGATCATAGTGCGGCGCATCGATCGACGGAGGGAATTAAAAATTAATGGAAAATAGGATTACAAGCGAGGCGGAAGAATCCTTGAATGTCTTACTAGAATCGCTGAGAGATTCGTGTGGTCAAAGTGCTCGGCGCCCGGGGAACCCGATGGGTTTCAAATGGAGAGCCAATTAGAAGAGCAATCGAACTTCCAGACAACCGAGAAACTCGGTAATCTGAACGGGGGGGATTTAAATAACACTGTCGCTTGTTCTTTGACCGTGAATCGGATAAATGGAGGTAGCTATCTTAATGGGTGTTGCGTAAAGGAAGTCGTATCGGGCGTCTATCGTGTAACGGAATGATGGAGGAATATCGACTAACGTTTCTATTTTCTCTCTACGATCGACAAAACATATCTGAGGGGGGGTTAATAAGACTTTCTCGGGCGATCTGGGAGGGAACTGCACATTTAGGGGTGGCTTTTCGATTTTCTCTGGCCCTTTGTTTCCATAAAATTTCAATACTTTTCGATTAATAAAAGAATCGTGTAAGAGAGAAAAATAACGGTAAACCATCTCGTCGTATACCATTTTTATCATGCTCGAGCAAACTGTGCAATAACGAATTTAACAACAATAACTTTGCAACCCTTTGGAACCCTTCGAAGCGCGTGTTTCCGGTCGGTTCGCTTCGTTGTTTACAGATAACCACAAAAGGGCCAAAGGCGATCGAAAAGTCGTGTTTACCCGCGAACGAAAAATGATAAACTAGTAACACACTGCGTGTATTAAAAGCGATTTGAAGCGAATGGAATCAACGTTGTGTGACTTACCCATCGGTGTTGTGCGTCAGGAACGATTTCGGCAGGGACAGCGATCGCTGATGAGGATCCAAACAAATGTCCCCGGGCAGAGAGTCGTCCCCTCTGGTGGGAGCGCTTCCGGGCCTGGACAGCATCCCGTCCCTCGGCGGCTCCATCAGCGTCTTCAACGAGCCAATCACCGCGTCCTCCATGGGGGTGGACGCCCCGGAACTTTTCGCGTTCCTCGGGCTCTTCGTCACCGTTCGATCGGAAGTGGTGACCCAGATATCGCTGCTGGAAGACGACGAGGTGGTCGACGAAGATACAACCTGACCGCTCGGCGATCTGTTCACGATACCTTTCCCCTGGACCGGCGACACTTTCCTGTCCTTGTTTTCGCAACCTTCGAAGCTACCGGCGAACTCGGGCTTCCTATAAAATCGATGATGCTCCCTCTTCTCCGTGCCCGCGTTCGTGTTACTCCCGTTGGATCCCTCGAGCGGCGACCATCGATTCGATTGCTTCAGCACGCTCTTCGGCTGCCTCTCCTGATACTTGGACGCGTTCGAATTGTTTTGATCGCGATTCCCGCGATTCTTACGCGACGTGGTATCGCGATCGCGGAACTCGCGCTCGTCCATTCGCTCTAACGACGCCGGGGACGAGCTGGCGCTTCCTCTGCTCGCGTGGCCGCCACCGTCCGTTGGGAGTCGCTGATGAGCCGGGTAGCTCTGGGACAGCTTCATGAATACCGGAGCCTGGTTAGGGGAGTACAGAGTGTCCCTTTGCGAGCAGTGCGGCCAGAAATCGCAGGTGCTGCTGTTGCAACGTAATTTCGTGTCCGGACTGACGCAGAAGTCTGGGTTCACCGACGAAGGGTTCACGTTTGGGGTCGTCGCTCCTCTTTGAAGCGTCTTCGGTCGTCTAGACTGTTGTTGTTGCTGCTGCTGCTGTTGTTGTTGTTGTTGTTGTTGTTGTTGTTGTTGCTGTTGTTGTTGCTGCTGCTGCTGCTGCTGCGTTTGCTGCTGCTGTTGCTGCGACTGTTGCATCGACGGAACGACGGATTTCGTAGATTGCTGCTGCTTCGACGATATAAAGTAAACGTCGTACGTATTCGCATTGCCCCGTCTTTGCTCCTGACTTTCTTCTCGGCGTTCAAAGCGACTCGAGAGAAGATTCCTGGCCACTACACGGCTTCTTGTACCGTAAAGAAACTCGGTTACCGCCTCCGTTTCACGGAGAAGCTCTTCGTTTAATGCGTCCTCGGTCGACTGCGCTTTTCCTAAGAAACACGCACGAACATGCTATTGTGGCAATAAACGAACCAACCGTGGACTATAAATTTATTTATAGAACGCAAAAGAACAGGAAGTTTTTCATGTGTTTTCTTATCGATTTAGGATAGTGCGTGGTGTGCTGCGTGCTATTCCGCTCGAACGGCCTTCGCACGTTCGGTTGTCAAACGATCGCGCTGTATCTCTAGCAATTTTGTAGCGCTTTTAATTACAATTACAAATTGAATGTAACAAGTAGGCCAACTGAATATTATGATCGCGATGTCACGTGTAATGTGATATCAGGGCATAACGGCTATTGCATAAAATAAACAATCATTTGCAATACATGTACGGAACCGTTCGTTACGAAAGCGGAGTCTATCGTTTTTTAAACGAAGTTTCTGCAATGTTCGTGAAACATATGAATTTGTTCTATAAATTATCAAAATTAACGAGGGTAAATTCAGGGTGCTGAACAGAATGATAAAGAGTGGAAACATTTTAAAAAATAGATTTTTCTTTCGATAACGTCTGCCTATCGATGAATATCAAAATCGTACAACGAGCTAATTAGGAGTGATTAGCGTTTCACGATCGATTGAAATGCAAATGAAATCATTCTTTTATATTTTCCTGGGATCGATCTCTCACGAAAAATGGCGTGTCGGAGAGATACAACGATGGCAAGCAAACGTGCCGAGGCCTCGAGCAAAGAATTCACATCCAATTAAATAAGTGCTCACAATATCGCCGAACAATGAACGTACAGCGGTCGATATGGAACCAAGAAACGTACGAACGGTTAGTGAATACGTACTGTTTTGAAGCGTGTGACGTTTCCTATCGTTTCCCCGCTCATTGGAAATTTTAACAACGACTCTATGAGGTTCGTTGGACTCCCTCGAGTGATCTCTGCTCGGTGTCGCGGTGCCGGGGGACCTCTTCTCGGGTAATTGAAGACTTCTGGATCTCCTTACTTTAGATTGATGAGATTCCGGGGACACTTGGGCCGTCCTGGCGCTCTGGTGTTGCCTCGAAGCGTTCCCGCGTCTAAAAGGATTTGGCGTCGGTGACCTGCCCTGCCTCTCGGCGCTGCTCGACGACGAGGACGAGGACGAGGGCGAGTTGAACGACAACTGCTTCCCGGACTCCGACGAACCGGGCGATCTTCTCAATCCCTGTTGGCTTCTGTGATGACGGGTCTGCCTGTTGGGCGAGATCCTCTCGCCGTTGGCGCGGATCGACTCCGTGGACGAGTTCAACGCTATGATCGAGGACGAGACCAGGCTGAGGTTCAACGACGAGCTGGGATTGTCGTCCTCGTCGCCGTCGTCGTATCCCTCCACCGAGGAGTCCGTGTTCTCGGCCAGTCTGGGCATGGTCGCCCTCGTCACGCAGCTATCGAGGCTCCTGAAGCCCATCGAGGACGAGGAGGAACTCGAGGATTCCAAATAACGCTGAATGAATTGCGATCTTCTCGTGGAGGATTGATCTTCCAGCGATTTGGCCTGTGCCATTCGATACTGTTGTTGTTGCTGTTGCTGCTGTTGTTGCTGTTGACTACTGGTGTTCTGCCTCCTAGTTCTGGACGGCACGTTCGATGTTTTCCGAGAGGAAGACGGCAGGGAGCTCCAGTTTACTTGGCGCGGCGGCGATGGCGGCGGGCTGATAATGTCGCTGTCCACTATGGCGTTCGATCGCGGCAGGAACGGCGCTTTTCCGTAGTTGCTTCGTCCGGAAGAGTGTTTCGAGGACGATTTTCTACCCACCACGTCCTGGAAAGCTGGCGGGGGCGATATGATCGGCGTGATCGACGGCGGTGAATGCGATTCCGGGATGCTGTGCGGCGACGTGCATGCGCTGCTCGCCACGGACTCGAAATCCTGACCGTGGAGGGCCAAGTAGTCCGGCCTTTGACCGTCCAATCTCGAGAACTCCTGAGGACATTTCCCCGGCTCGCTGTTGCAATGGTAGTCGGCCAATTTGACCGTGGCGCGTCGCGGCAACGGCAGAGTTCCCGTGGTCGCGGTGACCAAGCTGCTCTCGTAACTTATCCTTCGATTCTCGTCCAGGGACCTTTGTTGTACCTGGACCCAACCCGATCGACCCAAATAGACACCGTCCACCTCTCTGTCGCACCATCTCACCGGCGACAATTCCCTGCTGCAGTCGCCGCTGATGAAAAGTTCCCCGGAAGTGCCGCTGTTACCCGACAGGAACGAATTCGAGGATTCTCGACGACGAGAACTGGTCACCTGTCCGCAAGTTCATCGGTAGAAGTATACACGGCTCCTCGAAACGCTTAGGCAGCCTTCAAACTTTTTTAACAAGAGCTAGCGAATTTTCAGACCCCTCGAAAAATTTTACTTGCAAACGTACACGGGGAATAAAAAAAAAAAGGTGAATCTCGCCGAAGAAGGCGGTCGAAGTTGCGTCGGGCGACAGTCATAATACGGTTCGAAGTTTAAATAAAACGAGTTGGGAAAAAATTTAGACTCCAGTGAACATTTAAAGCGAAAGTTTACGATAGGATCGAGTTAAAGACGAGCCTCAGGCGGAATGGGGAATAATAAAACGAACTTTCTTTTCTTTTTTTTTTCGAATGTTTTACTTGCCTGCCCGTGGCTGTCCTGTCGATGCTGTTTTAAACTCGAGCTCGACGATATCGACGCCGTCGTGTCGTGCCGTTTTAAGGATGGTATTGAAGTGCCACGTGTGTACGAGCCTCGTGTGCCTCCGCTTGATTTTCCTCTGCTGCCAGACTGGCTTTTATTGCTGCCGACGCTGTACGTGGATCCTTGAGAACCCACCTCCCAAGGATCTGAAGTACTGCGTAAGTGCAGGATCGACACGTTCGGGCCTCTGGAAAAAATATTTATTTTTACATTACGGAAAGTTATGCTTGGACGAATAGGGAAAATTTATAAACCACAATGAACCATCGTACCAGTGAATCTCTTAAATTTATTCAAACCCAAAACAAGAAATTTAATCAGATCCTGAGATATCAACAGACATACGTTTCTGAAATGGAAAAGAAATGGTTCGAGATACCGCTACTCGCCAAAATGATCTAGCAATGCACTCTCGCTTTTTATACATATTTTGCAAGCGGAAAACGACACAACAAGACTCATTTATCCGTGAATGGTCCCCAGTTTGTCCTCGAGAGAACCACCCTCGCAGATCGTCGCGGATATAATACACAGATACGTCTGCAGTTTGTATTGGCTGAACTCGATTTGAGGAGGTTGTTGCACCGTTGCAACCTGGATGCGCTGCTTTTCTCCCTTCGTCTCGTACAATCTCCCCGTATAAATATTCATCGAGAGTACGTGGCTAGCGATATAGATATCGCTAGATAGAAGAGAAGCAAATAAAGATGTCACGACGGTGGAAAGAACGTAGGGAAACGAGGACGTTGCATCCATCTTGCTTCGAAATGCCTGCACAGACGGGGGACTTCTTCCTTCTCGATTTGAAACCGCCGTGAGATAGCACGAATCGCTGGAATACGCGGTAAAAGCCGGTAAACCACGAATCAAGGTAAAACGGATCCGTCGACGTTTTAGGTTCCAACGAAAATAAATGCGCTCGCTGTACTTTACGGGGCGCGGGCACGCTTTCGATTTAACTGTGATTAAATGCACAAACGGACCTTCTTTCCTCGTTTCTCTCTAAACGTCTGCGTTAACGAAGAACCGATAAACAGAAATTCTGAAAAATAAATTTTCTTTCTTCGATATGAAAACGTTTGTATCTTAAACCACGTTCGCGTTAATATAAATCCTGCTTAGAAGATCGATAGCTTTTGTGTTTCGAATTTAAATAACGTGTTCGTTGAACAAAGTGGAACAAGTCTGTACGGGCGCAGCGAAACAAGATGGTTTTCGTTATTTGAAAGCAAGTGGCCGCGGAACGAAGCGTTTTAAACGTTTCCCAAACGCGGTAGCCGAATGTCAATTCTTGAACGCTCCTCGAAGTAGGTCGCGGAAGAAGTTTTCGAAATGAAATCCGCTATACGTCTAACCGAGTGAATTTCGGTACGTCGGCGTGACAGCTCGACACTTCAGTAATTCACAGTCGTCCCTCCACCGTTTATCATTAATGAATCTCGGTGAATGCAGTCAGCGGCGCGAGGAAAGAAGACAACGGCAAAAGAATAACCTTCCGCCGTAATGACTCATAAAAGAAGGAGCAGCCAGGGAAATGGGATTGTTGGCAAGATTCGAATCGCGCCCAGAGTGGTTAAAACACTGGAATAAAATGACATTTCAATCTTCCAAATGACTCGATTCGTTTCAAGATTGGATATCGCGAACCAGTAACGCGTGAAAATTCTCAGATCGGCATTACATCGATTGCAAATATATTCCGCGAAATTATATCCCTCGTATTTTATTAACGTTGATCTTCGATCGCTAGAACTATCGGGACACTCTATTTAATGTACCACTAATGGAAAAGGAAAGAGGGATGCAATTTTAGCGCTCTAGATTTAATTTAATCCATCGTGTTTTTAAAAACGCGTCCGTAACATTTGTTCAAAAGTATTTTCGATTCCGACTACCGTCCCTGTTATTTTTGGCGCAGAAAGGAGAACGAACGGGATTCTTTTTGGTCGACACCGAGGTCTATTTGCAGTCAGACGTAGACGGATATCAATATCGCCGAATACATTATCCCGTGATTTGTTTCACGCTGGATGTCACACGTTAAATGTAACGCTATTTCTGTACGATCGTATCGGAGAATCCGGATATAGATGTCCTGGATTAATTATATTTACCTTTTAACAGACATCGTCTACAGGGTAGCTGGCTTCCCTCCGTTTTCACACCTGGATTAAGATCACTCTTGCGCGTTAAATTAAATACCACATGTCACATCAAACATCGCCTCGTCACCGGAGATCGATGCACTGTCATTTCGAGACCGTGTTAAAGCTCGCATTGATCAATGCATACGATATTCACTTGTTTCGACTGTCCTTGATACATTTCGCGTGGTAGATTGGTTCAAACTCGTCGCGTAAACTATTTCTCGAATGGAAAAATTATTCGAGAAAAAGTTTGATAACCAGAGTGAGTAATAAATTCGTTCGAATGCTCCTAACAGAACGTCGACCCATATTATATTTACACGCGATGCTTTTCCATCAATTAGATCATTTGTGGATGCATTAGCGCGCGTAAAAGCTTTCGTTTCCGCTGATGGTGAACTCAGACGTTCCGGGTATAAATCAATTTTATAAAATTTGGAACGAACAAAAATCTGAAATAACTGCGATGTGGTTTCGTTATGTGATAAATCAAGGCACTGTCCGGGCTTTTTAAATTAACGTTCAGACGCTTTTAATCAAAGCAATAACGAGAGCCTGAACACCGTTGTTTGGAAATTCGCGTCAGAGACGACACTAGTCCGCGACACTTACGCTGTTCACGTTGCCGTCAATATTGCCACTATACTCTTCAATCATGGTCGTAAGGACCTCGTCAATGTTTCAAAGGTATTAGGTGTCAATATTGTCGAGGCACCGTACCAAAATTGGCTAAACAATTCACGAGAAGACGCGAAGGTTGTACGAGTGGAAAACAATGCACGAGGCCCGACGATGACATTTTAAGAAGCTAATTTAATTAAATAAACAATTTGAGAATTATTTTGAGAATTAAAAATCGTTCACGTAGTTTCGCGAGAGCAAGCATCCAAATACGAACGAAGCTATTACCCAACCTAATAGATTCGAGGAAAGGAAACCGGTCGGTTTTTCGTCGGCTCGGCGAACGCGGTAAAAATGATCCGGGACGACTAATTAACCGTATAGGGGGTTCGGAAAGAGCTCTAGGAACTATCCGGCTCCCTCCGCCGTTTCCTCGTTGAATTTTGCATTCGCGTGTGTAAACAAGTTACGCTCCGCGGGGAAGCACCGAGGGCAGCGAGCGATGCAGGAAGACCGCCGCGTCCTTTCATTGAGCTTCATGAAAGTTACATAGCACGTAACCGTAGTCGAAGATTGCAAAAAGTAAACGCCGTAGACACGGAGAGGGAGCGACGAAGAGTGAGAGAGAGAGAGAGAGAGAGAAGGAGATAGTAGCAGAAGTAAACTAAGCAACGATCGAATTAATTTTCTTTTTACCCGTCCGATATCAACGGTCCCCATCGCGGTATTAATCCTACGACGAACGACGCTTTTTGCGGCGTCGATCTCCCACGGAACGTACATTTCTCGCAACCCGTTCGATTTCGCTCTTGCTATTTGTCTATTCCCCGCGTGTCCTTTTTTGGCGCGCGTCGAACCTCGGCCAACGAACTCCCGGATAAGCCCACGTAAAAAATTCAGGTGAGATCGACGCCCGTAAGAATAATTTTCGGTGCTCCGTCGACGAAGACTTTTCGATCACCGGGAACAACGTGGAGACACTGGTCGCGGGGTATTCGTCGTCCAAATGGAAATTGTTGACCACAGTTCACACGCGTGCACTTAAAAATCTTCGAGATGCAAATCGCGCGTTACGAAGTTAAAGAACGAACGTAGGCGAAAGGGGATCGCGACGGAAACTCGCGAGGGATTTTCTGTGCAGGAATGCGTGGGAGACGGGTACACGGAAGGCAGAAGAAAAAGGCGCCGGGAACACGCGCGTTACCTGTCGCCGCGGGAGCCGGTGGCCGTATTCGAGATGTCGGTTGAATCCGCGGCTGGACTGACTCTACGAGGCGGCAGGGCGGGAGCAGGGGCCTGGCTCGAGGACGAGGACGAAACGGGCCCTATGACGCCCACGGTGCCCCCACGTACCCCGTCCTCCGCCGAATGTTGCCTGCTCGAGGATTGCGAGCTCTGCGACAGCCATCGTCGACCGGCGCTTCTCGACACCACCGTCGTCCCGCCGGAACCAGCTGTCTGATGGGACACCGGTCCTCCGCTGTCCAACGACGTGCTCTGCGAACAAAAATTCCAATCACCATCGTTGCGTCCAGGAGTCTGATCCGCCCTTATCAGAACAGATAATTAATCTTCTAAGAACTCAGAAAGAAACATGATGTTTCAAATAAAATTGCAGTCCTTCGCTGGGTATGTAAATAAAAACTGTAGCAATCATCTGTTTCCAAAACATGGAGAATAATAGATAAAAACATTGTCATAATAGTGTAACCATTGCAACGAACGCTTTGGCCTCGACCAGCCTTGTTGTCGTACAAATCATCGAAGAAAGCTACAGTAGGAGTTTAGAATAAAAATATCGACTTATTTGCATAAACATTCGAACGACGAACAGTCGAGGCACGAGAATTGCACAATAATAATGGCATTGTAATAGTTTTGCTGAGTGAATGAAAATATTATGTACAACAATTTTGAAATATTGCTATAAGTAATAGCACACGATTCAGCGTGAATTTAGGACCCTCTGTCCGTCGATTCGTGTCGATCGCTCAAGCTGAGCGTCAGAGAAGGGTTAAAAGCAACGACAGAAACTCGTTAGCGTCGTCGTGCATACTTAATGATAAAATTAATTTGCTTAAGTATTGCGACACTCTAGAAACGTTTCAAGACTTTTTAAAAATATTCAGTCGCTTCGCGACACTGGAAAGTAATGGAATTTTAATGCAGTTATATAAGGTTATTGGTTAGAGGAGTCGCTGAATACGGGGGAAAGGTTAATTCATTAATGAAGTACTATTTATTTCAAACATTTCGTAATATAATCTGCATATAAAATACCCATTTAGCTATCGTATTGATATAAGAAATGTCGATCTCGATTATAACGATACGCATAATCATTACTGATCGTATCAGAGAATACTTAAATTCACAGATGATTTCATTCATAAATCCTCTATCAACCAGTCGTGCAACAATGGTGTACTCGTTTACTATTCCGTAACAAATAATATAAACCTTGTTTAAGGCGAACCAACCTTTCAACGATTGTCAATGATAACATTCTTTACGTACCCGGAAGTAAGAAAAATGTTCTCGTATGCAGGTGTTCGCGAGTCCTTCCTTTCCTCAGATACAGCCACTTTAAGTTGCAGTATGAGCACGTAAGATATTCAGTGACACGACGTATGAACGTCTGTATGCATAGCAATGGAGGCTGTCTTCAACGCCTCCTATAAGGTATCTTCGGTACATTTTTATCGTGTACCGGAAACCAGGGTACAATAAATAATCTGAAGTTCCGTTTGACCGATTAGTCGCGAATTCCATTGTTAAAATTTGTCCAGCAAATCTCAAAGTGGCTCCGGGGAAACAATTCTGCCGCACTTATCTCGCAATATACAATTCCCTTCTGCACGGTACACGATTTAATAGCGGAATTTTAACTAAAATTCCAGCATCCTCAGAAGTTAGAATTTAAATAAGAAATTCCATACGACGAGTGGAAAACAGAGATTTTTCCGAATCTGTTACCGTATGGTGGGGGCGAATTGCTCGTTTATACGCCTCGTACCGAGTCTTTTCTTTGATAAGAATCCTGGCGGTCGCCATTAAGCAAGAAGCAAACTCGTTTACGCAGTTCGTTTGCATGCTATTGTTTCCCGACACGGATAATATTTTAATAATGTTTTCTATCCGACGTCTCGGGCACGGCGATTACATCCACAATGGGATCTCACAATCGATACTCCCTTAACGCGGTAGCCTGGGTGCGGTTAGAGCGATGGCGATGCACTTGGCGTTTCTTCCCGAGCGTTTTCAATTATTCCTTTGACGGGAGAACTAATCGATTCGGCATGGACTGTCGCTTCGAGGTTTCTCATCGGGTCTCGTTTTTCCATCCGCTTCTCTCTATATATTTTTTATTTTTTTTTCGCCCCTACTTTCCCCATCCACCTTCGATGAACAATGGGGAATCGTTCCTAGCGAATCGACCACTTCGCATTCTTCGGCCGCAGAATTCGAGGCTCGAGAGCCGTTTCCAGCGAATCGTCGCGAGATTTCTTAAGATTCGAAGAAAATCGAGAGGCCAGGGTTTATTACCCTTTTTTACCTCAATTAATTGCGCCCGATGGTCTCCTTGCGGCATTCTTCAGGCTCGACCGACCGAACATGGACCGTTTCGCAACGTGCTGTCTCCTTTAAGAGGGAAATCATTTATCCAGAACGACACTGCGTACGTGAGAACACCAATTACCAAAACTTTCTCGCGAGTAAGTTATTAAGGAACGAGACGTTCTTGAGGCCTTTACAAATTAATTCCGTGGCAATGGCTGCTTGAAGGCAATACGAGGCTACCTCCATGCGTTCAACAATCCATACAAGCAATCAGAATTAGGTGGAAATCATTCTTTGCTCATTTTAAACTTCCACCTGGTCCCAAAATTGAAAAGGATTTCAAAGACCTTCAAGAAACGAAGAAGATTATGTCGGAAAATAAAAGCAATTTCAAACCCAAGTACTTTTTCGTTTTTAAGCCACGAACTTTCCAAACTACCATCTGCTCGAGAAAACATGTTTCTAAATTTTAATCATTTATTTCCCGAAAACGCGAACAAAGTTTTTGCAAGTTTCAGGGATTATGTATATCCTCCCTAAAAAAAAAAACTTGATTACCAGGAGCTCATTGGTGAAAATCTCGAGAGACGCGTTCTGAATCGCAAGTTCATTTTTGTCCATTGCATTCCCGAAGTCGAAACCGGGGTAAAAAAGCCAGATAATTCGATCCAAGATCGCGTAAAAGCATTCTTAAAAGTTTTGCGATCGTGGTGTCGGCTCGGCTGTGACACAAGACGAACTAAACGCGCAGCTACGAGCAAGGAGAGGCTGCCGGCTGTTTCTACTTCCAAATACGGACGCGAGAGACTGGCTACGCAACTCCTTCGATGAAAGTATTTTTATTTTCGTCGTGCTTCGGTGAAGAACCCGTCCCCGACCGACGATCCGTCGAGAATCGAGAATCGAGCCGGCCAATGGATCGCGCGCGTCACTTTGAAGCGCCGATCGGGCTCCGTCGATTAATTGCGCCGAGTTTTCCGCGCAGAATTGGCGCCGTTGATAAGAAATATGAGAAATCGGGGTCGCTGCGTCGCGTTTTATTACTTGCAAACCGATTTCTTTCGGCGAGCCGGTTGTTTACCTAACGTGGAAAAATCGAAATGACCTCGCGACGTGAAAGAGGATAGAAATCAACGGGTAGTATGTAGGTCGACGTGATCGGAGTTTCTTGTACAGCCTGTTCATCGTAACGCCGCGATTTTTTAGACGCGATAATCCGATGGAAATTAGTCAGCGTTCGCTTTCGTTTTTTTGAATGGCTAGTCTAGTATCGAGAGTGGAAAAATAACGTTGGAAATACAATTGGACAACGGCTACGAACGAGTCTGATCTCGCAAGAAATTGTTTTAAACAAGGACACCGGTGGATAACACGATATCGTTAAACACTTCCAGAGAGTCATTAATGAAAATAGTAAGAGGCCAAAACGAGAACCCTGAGGGACCTCCCGTAGGGAACATGACAGATCTGGAACAGGAGTTTCGGATCCTTACTAATTGAGAACGATCGATTAGACAGCTTTTAAGCCGATCTAATACGGTCCCGCGAATGCCAATGGGAACCAGCTTAGATAATGATAAATCGTGTTCCACTGTATCGAATGCGCCGCTAAAGTCAGCGTAAACTGCACCCAACTCCGGAGACCTTCGGTCGAGTACGGTCGATACGAGCGGAGGACCGTTTGAAAAGTTCGCGGCTTGAAAACGAAAACGTGGTCTTTTGACTTTTAAATTGCTTTTATTTTTCAACGTAATATCCTTCAACTTCAATACATTTCATCCGAGCGATGTTCCAAAGCTTTTATGCCGGCCCGGAGACTTTATTCACAATTTCTAGCGTCGTTGCAGTTTTTGGACGGCCATTACGCGGGCTATCTTCCAAGCTGAGACGACGAGCGTTTAAATTTCGCTGCATAGTTTAATTATCAGACGCTATACGTAAGTGTTATTTATTTAATACAATTAGAATCGATCGATAACGTTAGCAACCTCATGGAAATTAAAGACGAGTCTTCGAGAAAAGGATTACTCTACGAAGATGTACTCGACATAGATTGTATTTCTAACGGAATTCGGTGTATTTGTACTTACATTTAGATGATTCTTCCTGGACGTGACCGACGAGTCCTGCGAGGACCCTCTGGAATAATGTCTGGAGAAGACCTCGGCGAGCCTGGACCTCGTCGCGTTCGACTTGGATTTATTCGACGGGGATTCGTCGGCCGTTTTGGCCAAATTTGGATTGCTGCTCTTGCGCTCCGGAAAAACTAAATGCTCGATGTTTGGCGTGTATCCAGGATCGCTTCTCACGATATCCTGGAGGGTCACGCGGCCTCCGGCGCTCGGTCCTCCGTTACTGAAACAGTTGAAAATGCCAATACCTTTTTCAGCCAATTCTCAGGACCGCGACATTAGCGAAGCTTGCACGAAATACTTCCAATTCAAATTCTAACATCGTGGAAAATTCCAACATCAAGAAAGTACTGGTCCTCATAAATACTTCATCTTTCAAAGCTTCCTTTAATAATTCTCGAGATACTGGATTGTCTTCACCCCTTCAAAGAACTATCTTGTTAAAAAGTTTCGACGAAAACTATTCACATTGCAAGGGCTGTAACGTGTCCTGGAGCACGGTTCGAATGCAAAGTATCGATCGACGAGCGTATCCATAATTTCGGCATTTACCTAATTTCGCGTTTGCAAGTTAAACCGTTAAGGCCGTTGCAATCGAATCGGGATTTAATATTCATCGAGGGTTTGAACGATGTTCCGGGAAATACGCGTCTGAGCCCGGGGTGTCGCGGAATCTTCGCGCGTGAAAAGGAATTTCGCGAGGGGGCGTCGAGAAAGGGCGGGTGCGACGTGAAAGCGTAAAAACAACGTCGCCAGAAACAAAAGGGTGGATGGGACAAAGAAGGGGCAGAAGTCGGATCGCTAAAATGCGTCGTGAATGCAGTGTCGCGCACGTCGACGCGTGTAATACCGGCTTAAAAGGGTTAATTATGCAAGCCCACTGAAAGCCGTGGATAGTTCGGTGTCTCCTGCTATTTTCCCCCGAGATTTTCTCTTCCTTTCGGCGCGATCCGTCAAAGGGCATGAAAAAAAAAAAAAAAAAAAAAAGGAAACGGTCGACTGGTAATAAAAATGTCGACCGCAGAACGCCCTAAGATCCATTGTAGCTGGCAGCGTAATGAAGACGAGTACATGAAAGAGGCGAGGACAAAGTACGATACCGGTCCATCAGTAATTAGTTCGTAGATTATTTTAACAACCACTGGCAGCAATTTTTAACGTTCAGCGTCGCCAATTTTTATTATTCATAGCAGATGGCTTGCAGTAATTGTGCTGGATAAATTATTTTTTTTTAATATTACCGAGAGGATAAATAACGCGTGATGAAGTTTCAACGAGGGGGGAAAACACGAGAATTGAGAGGGAGAAGATATTTCATTCACATACTCGTCGCGTTTTAATATCGTTCGAAATAAATTTCATTGTCCAGAAAGCAGTATCAGATGAATTCCACAAAAATAGTCGATAAATAGTCAACTTTATTTTGTCGATAAAATATAATTAAAGATCGGTTCCGATTTCAAAAACACTTATCGATAGTTGCGCGTAAACGATCGAAGAGGAATATGCGACACATTTATCTGGGCTGTAATAAATATATTTTGACGAGGAGTCATTTTTCGAACCCGTATTTCGAGATTTTTGTCAAGCATCGAAAGGGTGAACAGCCTCTGAAAATTCAGAACACGTTTCTCTAACAGTACGCGATTGGGCACCAATTCGTAGTACCAAGGGAGGTTTACCGTTTTCCAATCTCTCCTCCAGTGTTTCCAATTTCAAAAATTTCCCGTACGCGACGTCGATGCCCGTGTTGCCTACTGTGGTATCGCGGGCATTATAATTAAAACATTTTTTCACGCTGACCTGGGTCCAAAGCCATGAGACTGCCTCTGGCCTCGTCTTTTCCCGCTGCCACGGCCAGGCTTGATGTTTGTCGCCTCGGCTAATTGCAGCAACTGGCTGCGATGCTGCCGCAACAGCGGGTCCTCCCTGCGATTCATTTTAACCGGTGCAAGTGCAATCCTGTCGACCCTGCATCCTGCAATCAGAACAAACAGAAACGGAGATATTATATCGGCGATAAACTACGAAGTTTGCCCGTCGACGAGAACGTACGCGGACCACTGTCGGTTTGGTAAAGGAAAATTGTATATCAAACGCGTTATTCGGAAACAACGGATGCCGTGTAATCCCGAAGCTCTTAAAATAAATAAAATGTTTGAAAATCGTCGAGCCGATAGAAGACCATGGACAAAAGTGTCAAACGGAATAGATGAATAAATAAAAATAAACCAAACAACGCGTTAGTCCGTTATACGAGATCGGACGGGCACTTCTGCCAAATATCCTTGATTTTTATTTCTCATAATACCGAAACGGGGTCAACGTCGAACGGCGATATCGTTCGTAGCTTCTTTATGACATTTATCGGCGTGTTAATTTTCCATTCTTTCTTTTTTTTACACTTTGCACGAGTTCGTTAGACGAGGGAAAATTGTTGGAGTTCATTATTTTTGTTTTATATTAGGGTAAAGGTACGTGGGAATATTGAGAAACTTGGTGAACTTCGCCGGGCGTATAATTAATTTGGTGCTTTGAAAATCGCTCGTCTCCGCGAAAAGAAAAGAATTAATTATTCATGACGGTCTCCCGATAATGAAGAAATGTAATTAGCTCGATTAGTGCTTGCGTGTGTCGAAAAATAGGACCTTGATAAAGGGCGGGGGAATAATTTTCGATACGACGTTTCCGATCGCGTTATTCTTTTATAGTGTTTCGTTTCTAAAGGTATCGGATCGTAATTATCGGACTGTGAATCCTTCTCTCGGGATCGCGTCGGATCAGGAAGAGAATTTACTACCGACATTGTTGCCCGCCATGCTTTTATTCCTCTTTGAAGCGAGAATCGTGAAAAGAGTCTTGGCAAAGACGACCGAAAACGTGTATTTTTTTCTTTCTCGTCTCACGTTAATAACTCGCGGCATTGTTTCGGCATCGTGCCGACTCCATAAACCTTCCCTTTTTTGTCCTTTCGATCGAGGCAATTTTTAACGGACGTAAAAGAGCACCGACACTCTTTGAAAGCTACTAATTTCTGACAATTTTTGCGGGGTTCGTTCCCTGAATCAAACTGCGATACATGGAGCCCGTATTCTGTTAATTACTAGGTATTTATATTGCTTACTTAATGGCGAAAATTACCACGAGTATGGGTGTTTAGTTACCGGTGGTTGGCGATAATGTACCTAGTTACGATGTCAGATATCGATGAAAGTTTCCCTGCGTCTAACCGTCCCAGCAAACAGTTTACGTTGAAAACAACGTGCCGACGAAAATTTAATATAGCATCCGGAACTATTTTTCCGAGGAATTTTAATAAGCGCGTATTAACGCGTAGCATGTGGAAATATTAAGGAAGTATGTAACTCATATATTATAAAATTTCGATTACTCGCCCGGCCGAGACTTTAATCCATTCCTCGTGCATGCTGTGCATTATTGATAATTTCGCATATATTATGAGCAAGTTCGCCAACGTCTGCTTCCGCCGTCAATTTGACCGGAATTCAATTTTAGTTTTAACCAATATCGAGCTTCAAAATATTTGATGCGCGTAAAGCAAAACTCTTCAAATTGTATGGCTTCTTCGTATTAAAAAATTCATCGTTCATCGATGGTTAAATGAAAATTTATATAAATATTGCGAAATATCTGACTGCCCTATTACGCGATATTTCCACGTGACTTCAATTTTTTAGCTCCATTGCCTCGTTCGTTAAAATTGTATGCGTTATATATATGTAAAAAAAAAAAAAGAAGAAATATTTGAAAAATGTAACTGAATTTGAAATGAAGTGTAGTTTATCGGCTTACCGACAAACACGGGCTGAATAAATAAATAAAACGATGTAGAGCCAAAAATTAAAGTATAAGCTTATTACTTTTCAATAATTCCACTTTTCAGAAGATCATCCTTCCCATCCGCTTTCAATTTTCTCCGGTGAATCGCTTCCTGCGCCGTTCCATTTCCAATACCGACATATCAGGAATGGAACGGAATAACAAAAGCGACGGGGATGGGTAATCAAACCCAACCCCATTACGAGCGTCTTAACTTATTTGCATTATAATATATACTGCCAGCGTTACTCGGAACCATCTTTGACGACAACGCTGCATATTCTGCATACATTTTCGAGAAAGTAGCTTAAACAGGAAACAATGAAGGGACATTACTTTCCGACAGCAGATTTTATGAGAAAAATTGTGCCTCGTGGGCTTCTCAAAATAAAATACCGCAAACTGCCGCAGATATTAAAAATTCTAATTGCCTTATAAATGGTTGAATCGAATCCAGCCGATCGTCTCGCGAAAACTTGTTTAATGCACTTGTTAATGTGCAAACACGGCACACGGTAACACTCAACGGACAAGCATTAAATCGGAAAGCAAATCGTACGGCCAGTCTCGCGGCGCGAACGAGTGGATTTCTGCGCGTTTCTCAGTGTTCGCGTCCGGCTTAGCCACTCCATAAATTGCAAATTCTGATTGGGATTTACGGGTGGCGTGTATCGCCGACTTTGAAAACGAAAACTACGCGAACGAAGCCGGGTACTTCGAGCCGTGTGATCGGGATTTATGGTTTCTCGACCCAAGTAAAAAAAAACTACGGAAAAGCAAAGCGGTCGTAGATCGTCCGGACGATTCTCTCGCGGCAATATCGATCTTTGCTCGATCGATGCTTCTTCGGAACCACGAACGTTCGCGGCGAAGTCAAACGTTTTCTTTTTGCGAAAGGTCAGGCGACGTTAAAATTGCGCTGAACGAAAACGAAACTAATTTCATTTACGGATGAGTCTGCTTAACGACTGTCCTTCCACAGATTTATGCACACTTTGATGGACTTTACGGTCAGAATACCTCTGTAATCACGGGTCTGGGTAGAATAAAACGCGTTAAACGGCTCTTTGTGAATACTAATGCGTCCGCAAATTATTTACCCATAGCGAAACGAACGTGTAACGGAAAGTCATTGGAAATGCTTTCAAAACCTTATCGAGGCGTGTGAAATACCTGTTATTTTTAATGCGTGCTATTCTTCACGATTTTCAAGTTTCCACGAAGCGAATTCACGCATTATTAACGATTATTATTCACTTAAGACTTGATCGATCGCTGCGCCTGGAAGGACCGTTCGACTCAACTCGGCTGTACACCAAAGTGCCCCTCCGTAAGCGCTGTAATTCCACGCTAAGCTCGAACGACTTGAGGGAATTGACAGAATTCCGGCGATAGTTGTATCGTCGAACGAATTACTCAAGTAAACTCATTAAATAACACAGGCTGATTCAAACAACCGAGATAAAATTCTGTTCTAAGCGAAGAGTAATTTATAGAAAAATAAATAGCGATCGAGCCGGAATCATGTAGCGTGTTTCGAGCCATTTCTGAATGTATTGAGTTTTCCTTAACCTCATCGTGTACCTGCTACGCGCAAAATTACCCGAGGAATCGATTTATGTAAAAGAATCGGATAGCTTTATTTAAAAGGAAAATACTACTGCACTTTGCAAATGGACCGATGCACTTGGGGGAAAAAGTTGTATGGTTGGATAATAGTCATTTGGAATGTTCGCTCGGAGCGGAGCTATAGTCTGGTTCACTTACTGGAATCACCTTGTATATTCAATTCAATAAGAGTACAAGACTGAATTATTTTAAACTCCTCTACTTATCCAAACAGTCGCTTCTAAAGTTTCACGGAAAGCAATAAAAACGTTTACGAGAAGGAAATGTAACGATTCTTTTTATAAAGACCTGCGTTTAAAGGGACCAGTTAAAAGTTTGTGCCCAGAGAATAGTTGCGGAAAGTACGATGTCGCGAGTACGTACTTGAAACAAATGAGCGGAATAATGGTTATCAAATAGATCTAATTGACGAGTATAGAGATTACGAAACGGAAGTGGGACAAGACATCGGTCGGACCAAGCTCGCGGGACTTGAATCGGTAAAATTGAATAGATATTTTACACTTTTATCTATCGCACAATGCCCAAAGACAAATCCCCTTTCGCGTTAACAATGAATACGAAATATACGAGCTCGATAATTTAATGAATTTAATACATAGCTAGAACGAAACGTAATGATGAGGAAGACAAGATTTACAGAGCGTATAAACGCGAACAAAACGGAATAGAATATAGCAATAAAAGGAGTATCGTCCTTAGTCGGCTGCAACAGCTCTGTTGCGACTGAGGAAGCACCGTAATAGTCAAAGATGTTGAATCGCTCAAAGGACCATAGAAAGGATCGTCATTGTCCTGCGTGACCCTTGTACCCGACGATTCTTCGGTACACTGGAACGAACAGAATGCCGTAAAAAATGAAAAGAAGAATTTTATTTGTAACCAGCAAATGTTCAGCGTTTATTTTTCTGCGATAAAAACCATTAAATATTCTTCCGTTAAACCGTATTTATTGTACTCAATTTTGCATTACCGTATTCTCTGTTAAATACCTTCGTTTATATTTTAAGAGCAATTTGTCCAATACTGGCAACGAAGGTTGCAAACGATTCGGAATTCGATTCGGAATACTTCGAATGGAAACACGATGAAACGAAGGTTGTTCCGCAATATACAACAGGGGATACAATTCTGCCAACAGGAACAAGTACCTCTGGCCCTCAATTTTCAAATTTTTTTTCGATATGAAGTGCCAATAGCTATTGCAAATCAATTTTGTTGCATGACTGCCATGCATGCTTCTCTCTCGCAACTATTTTTGTCGAACAATTAACCGTGACATTGAACTCGATAACAATGAAATGGCAATCTCCGGGGTGGACCAAATGCAGCGAAACAGTTACAGGCTGTTTTTTTTCTCGAAAACCACTGTACAATTATTTTTTTAATCAAATGGCCTAGAAAGGTTCTAATTCTTGTTTTATGGAACGGTGTGTTTTTATTTTGCTTGAAACATTTATAACTATGAAATCATAATTTTGATATTTCCAATTCAGTCTGCTATGTAAA